CCGCCAGAGGAAGGGACTCAGGGTGAGTCTATCCCCTTGCCGGGGAACCTACTGGGATTGAGCCGGGAAGAAGAGACCCAGGGCGGGGCCGTGAACCCCGCGAGTGGAGGGTTTGGGGAACTCGACCCCCTCCACTGACAAGGGACAGATGTCCCCGTCTTAGGGCCCTGGGTCGGGGCTCGGAGAGTGGGAGGGCCCGAGCCCCCTTCCTGGCCCCTCGGATCCAAGTGAGTCCGGAGCGTGCTGGAGTTATAGGCCTCAGACCGCGGCCAGGCGGTCGGTCACAAGGCAAAGACTCCCCTTTTGGGACGACGGCTCACCCGAACTCGGGGTGACCTCAGGAGAGTGGGTAACAGTAAGGTTAAGAGATTTTCACCTGAAAACCTCAGTTAAATACTCTGGATCTGGAGAAAGCTTCTTGAAGCTCAGAGTACATATACAGAAGAGGCCCAAGTTAATAAAATAGTTAAAGAGTAAATGTTACTAGACAAATTAACTGTACAGTATAGATATAATATATAGAGGAACATTTGTTTAAATGTGCTGGAAATCTGGCAGTGATTTCCAGACATCTTGCCTTTTTAGACAGTTATTAAGATTGATAAGAATAATTAAATTTTACCATTACATATAAGACAAACTTCCACATATTTATGTCATTTTGTGCTGTTTATGATACTTTTCTCCTTAAAAATGCAGGCTTTCTTTCATAAACCATGAATGAATACTCCAAACCCAAGGGCACATCTAAAAGGCTGAACATTTGCATTGCTTTTGGAGCATAGGCAATTACTGAATAGTGCCATTGAGATCAGCTGGTGAACTTTCACAATTATTATAGTAGTGAAAGTTAGAAGCAAAAGGTCTCTCCCGCCCTCAGGGCTGAGGAGTGGGGGGGATCGTGCCCGAGGAAAGAAGGTCTCTCTTGTGCCTCCCTTTCCTCCAGGGCTGAGGACTTTGTGTATGACTTTGGCCCATATTCCTTGATTTAATGGCAAAAACTCTTTTAAATCTCTGGCAGCTGGAGCCTGCAGGGTGCTAACTTGAGGGTGCTCAGCACCTTATAGAAGACACTCAGAGCTTCACAGGATCAGACCATAACATGATGCTCTTTAGGATTCAGTCCTTCAAAGTGTTGGGCACTCTGTGGTCCAGCAAAACACCCAAATATCCTGAAACAAAAGACAGGACTATGCAGCACTTTAAAGACTAACAAGATGGTTTATTAGAAAGGGAATCCTCTGAACTGTCATTCATGTTAAAATTCGACACTTACCACCAGGGACTTAACAAGTCTTTGAACTTTCTCACCCATTATCAAGACAGTTTCCCCAATTATCACCTGTAATACCATTAACTCACAAACATCCCACTCTCCCTACCTCTAATATCATCAATTCACAGACACTTACCTTCCTTCCTCCCCCTTCCCACCCCCCCGCCTCCTCCTTCTGTTCTGCAATGTGATTTGTCCTTTTCATATTTGTTCTTTTTTTTAATTGTATCCTTTGGTATATATGGTTGTGACTACTTTCTTCCACTATTTGATCTGAGGAAGTGGGTCTGGCCCACGAAAGCTCATCATCTAATAAACCATCTTGTTAGTCTTTAAAGTGCTACATTGTCCTGCATTTTGCTTCAACTACCCCAGACTAACACGGCTACATTTCTATCACTACCCAAATATCCTGTGTGCTCAGCTTTAAATAGGCAAATGGTTCCTCTGACTTTAGTAGGACTATCTAGGTGCTTAACTTTAAATACTTGCTCGACTGACTGTTTTGCTGGATTGAGTTGTTATATTGCAGGATCAAACTGTTAGCCTCTGGTTCAGACAGAGACCTAAACATGTGTCTAAGAATTGATTTTTAAATGCCTTACTCACTTGCTTAAAGGTGCCACATGCTTAAGTACCTTATTATATTGGGCCGTAACTTACCATACAGAACAGCATTGGAAGACTGAAAGAACAAGCAAATGAAATATGAGAAGGAAAGTAAGAGATGAAAAATGATCCAGCACATTTTCAGACCCTAGAAAACAGCTATTGGTTAATCATTATCATGAACATGTATTGATTCTGCCTTTCAGCTTCCATAATTCAGCTGCCAGGCTGAAGGTCACCTTCTTCTACCTATTAATATTTAATCAGGAGAGACAGGCTTAAAAGATACAAGTTAGATGTCCATTGAGTCTCCTGAAAAGGTTTAAAGTTCTTAGAATTAAAAATAAAAAACTCACCATTTTCATTCAGTTTAATTTATAAGGTCTGAAATTATATGAAATAATGAAAGATGATGATAGAGGGAGACTTAAAATCCCTATTTTTTCCCCAGAAAGTAACATTTCACAGGAAACTGGACAAAAGGAGGAATCATTAACTCATCAGCATGAGCAAAAATATGATCCTGCACATCTAATGCAGGCAGTAAATTCTGTCATTGACTTTAAGTACAAATAAGGCCTTTATTTTCTGCCAGAGATGCTGTTGGCTGTGATATGTTGATTTACAACAATTTAAAATTTACATTTCACGAAAACCCATGTTTTGCCTAGGACAAGTAGGATATGAACCAAAGTCTACTCAAATAAATGAAAAGACTTCTAATGACCTGAGTGGTCTTTGGATTAGCTCCCTATGATTATGCCAACTGTGCAAAGGCCAGAAGCACTGTACAGCTCAATCACACAGACAATGGATCAAATGGTCAATGATCTATTTTTTTAACCAGTTCCTCCCCCCACCATTCCGTCTTAGTCCTGGTCTACACTAGGGCTTTATTTTGAAATAATTCCCCTTAGGTCGAATTTATAGCCAGAGTGTCCACACTATCTGACCCATTATTTCAAACTAAGGGTCCGTTTCTTTTTAAATCTGTACTTCTGCTTTTCTCGGGGTATAATGCTAATTTTGAAATAGTTATTTTGAAATAGTCCTAAAGTGGATGCTCCGGTGCTATTTCAAAATAACTACTCCTCAGAGTAATTTTGAACTAATTACTCTCCAGTGCTTCCTGGGACTCTAAGTCAAGGTAGCATGCCCACATTAATGGAGCCTGACATGGACTAATTTCGAGGCTTCCCCATAGTGGGGACATACCATTTCAATTCTGTAAAATCAAGAATTGAGTCAAATGTAGTTATTTTGAAATAGTTTCCTAGGGCACATCTACACTGCAACACTATTTCAAAATAACTAGCGCAATTCTGAAATAACTTATTCCATATCTACGCAGCAGACAGTTTTTGAAAAATGCCAAAATACTGTCAAGCTGAGGACGTCTTACTCCAACTCCTGTAACCCTCATTGTACGAGGAATAAGGGAAGTCAGAGGAAGAGTGCTCTATTTCAAAATAAGTGGTGTGTAGATGCTCCCTATTTATTTCAAAATATGATCCATAATTGACGTAGCTCAATTTGCATTAATTATTTCGAGTTAAGCCCTGCAGTGTAGATGCACCTGTAGTATAGAAATGCCCTAAGGGATTCATTGGATGCATTTTATACTCCTTTTTCAAGGAGTATCACTTTTTCATATCACTTACTCAAAATTACTAGAAGCTTTTTAAAATATTGGACCATACATTGGGAGCTATAATGAATTCAGCAAGAGGAGTGAAAAAAACCAAACAATTTTAACCATTTTAAGAGAAACTTTTCCTTGTAATATGACCTCTTCCAGTGCAAGGCTCCACTAATTTTACTGCATAGCTTTGGGGGTTTACTTTATTTTCTCTATTATGGTGCCAATGTTAGACTTGTCTCCTTGTTTTCAACTTTATGATTTATCAGCTTTCTGTCAGGCTTCATATTTCACTACCTTTAAGTTCTAGCTTATTTGGATATAGATTTTCAAATGCTTAAACCTAGCAAGAGAAATAAAGACATTGGCTGACTGTGGCATTGTTGATTCAAGACTGCTTTTCCCCCTTGGTCCTCAGACTCTTTTCTATGGAATAATCAGAAGCAACAATGATTTGCAAAAAGCTTCTGTATAATGGTGAGACATTGTTATTGAAACAGGACAATCCCAGATTCTCACCACAAAGCTTCTACCTTTTCAAGATTATAATCAAGAGCTTGCCAATTTTTATTTTGTTTATAGTTAATTTACTTAAAAGCCTTATCCCACTTTGTATTGATAGCAAAAAGATGCTAAGGTCTTCAGGGACAGTTTAAATAGACTTGGTCCTACCTCATCACTGGGACTAGACTAGATGATCTCTTCTACAGCCCTACATATCAATGATTCTGGTATTTTTCTATATCTTATGGACTTCTAAGTTCACAGGAGAGCAAACCCAAAACAAAGTTCTCTATTATCTTAGGTTCAAGATTAAATACTTCTGATGCCAACAATTTAATGTAAAAACTATAAGACAGCACTACGTGTATATGGCAGAGCGAAGAGATCAGAAAACACATTCCCTTCCCATCCGTTCTATCTGTATTATAATGTTGACAGTTTTAAAGAAATAATCATAGATGTGTTTTGAATTCCAGGTTCCTTTGTTACTCATTTTTGAATAAATAAATTGCTGTTTTCTGTCCTTCTCTGACTAACCTTCAACCTCTGCTAGCCTGTGTATTTAACATTCACAGAAACACAGAGGTAACAAACTGGCAAAAGCTACTTTTGAAATCTCTGTCATCAAGAACAAATGGAAATTCAGTATATCAAAGGAAGAGAGATACACAGTATAAAAAGAGTCTCGGCTTCAGACTGGTGCCTAACAGCAAGGTTGAAATCACAGTATTCTTTTGCAGTCAAAAGACTGGCACAATGAGATCGAATGGTTCCATAACACTGACAGGCAAAAGCCTAGCAGCCTTTCATTCTAACTACCATGCAGACAGAATGGAAAAAGGGTCTCAAAACAGTGATTGGAGGGGAAAAAAGCAGCTAATTCAGTTCTTATATTAATTAATCTGCTATCTTGCCTCAAACTGAAGTATTATATGAGCTTTAAAAATCACCTGCACTACACTTGTTTAATATAAACATATAAAGTCTGTATTATCACAAAACAATTTCAGAAATGATGTGGTTTTTTTGAAAAGCAAGTTTAATAATTCTCTCTATCACTGCAGAATTAATTTTTAAAAAGGATAAAAAATATTCCATAATGTTCACCATTGTGCAGGCTATCCTACAAACTGAGTTAGAACTAGATACTTCTTTATTTAAATTAAACAATCTGATTGTGTCACATCAAAAGAATCAGATTTTTGTAGTACAATGATATCTATAGCACATTCCATTTTCAAAGTATGGTACAAATATTAACACTCATGCCTCCATATTACAGATGGAGAAGACGAGACTGAGAGAAGTTAAGGAATAGATAGTGAAAAACATGTTACTGATACATTACCTCCAGAGCCTGGGTCCTACTACACCACCAAAGCGGCTTGCCACTATAGAACATGGAGTCTAGGGAATTATTTCTGATTGTACATATTGGATTTACAAAGAGACTTGTGAATTTACAGTATTAATCTCTAATGCAAATATTAAGTCATTGGACAGGTTCAGTACATTGCACTCTAACAGAAAACATTCAGTTAACAAATTCATATGCTGCCTAAAACAGAAGGCAAGTTATATTCTGTTTTAGGCAGTATATGAATTTGTTAACTGAGTGTTTTCTGTTAGAGTGCAATGTACTGAACCTGTCCAATGACTTAAAAGTTCTAGCAAAAGAAAAAAAAAGAATTTTAGCCAAACAGAGAGAGGATGATCCTGTATCCATTGACATTAATTCAGTAGATGCAGAGTGATTTCAGTCCTATTCATTATTACTTAAGTATTTCTGCTTTTACACAGTTAAAAAAATGTGAATACAAACCAAATTAAAGGGGACATTTAAAATCAATGGAGTTTGGGCACCTGTTCTTTGTGTCTTTAAAAATATTCCCCGAATAGATTAACTGTTTTATTAACAATATGAAATTAAAATCTCAGCATTTTTACAACTGTAACCTTTAAAAAAAATCAGATTGTGCAGGCAATATACACAAATACAGAAATCTGCAACTACCCTATCTACTTAACTTAGTGACCAGCTTAACAGGCCTTTGTTTATGGTACTTCCAAATTCATAATTAATGACATTAGAAAGCACACACAAACTCAAGCAGCTTTAAAGTAACACAAGGGGTTTGAAATAGGACCCAGTCCTTCACTCCTTACTCAGTGGGAGTTTTTCTTTAATAAGTAATACAGGATGAGGTTCTTAACTCTCCCCAAATCAGAAAAAACAATTGAAAACAGATGTTTATATAACAATAGTAACATTGATAAATCAGAAACTACAATGGTAACAATAGATGTTGCTGCACCAAATGTCTAACCTCTTATTACCTCTTTTAGATCAGGCCATTCCTTAGGTAGAATGTGACTATGAATATCAATTTTCATCTCTGAAGGATCGCACGAGAATTACTGTTTTAAGAAAGAGGCTTTCTAATTAACCTTGAGTTCACTGTGCTCCCTGGCATAGCAGATTGCTGTTAACATAGAGTGTTATTTAAGTCTTCCTGATGTCCTATCACATTGCATAGCTACAGTAACCAATCAGAGAGCCAACATTCCAGGGGCGCTCCAAAGTAATGTAATGTCAATGACTCTCAGGAAGTGCTATTGCATAAATTACTGTAGACTGAAGAGTGAAGTAAGGCTGTGTGTTTACTCCAGAGCCTGAAATAAAAGTTGGTTTATAAACTTAAAAGTTAATTATTATAGAACAACAACAACAAAAAAACCCAAACAAAACAAAACACATGTTGCTATTAACTTGCTTCTTTCCACTTCTGAAAAATGTATTAAAGAGAGCATAAAATACAGCCTCTAATGGACAAATGAATGCTCCTCATCATTCCTCTCCTTCTTGCAGTCTCTTCAATATTATTTTATAAAAAATCATAAAAATGCAGAATTGTGGCAATAGCTTTGCTCTTTCTTCTTTGGCTTGGTAACAATGCTGGCTCATTTGATCCTCCCTTCCTCATTCAGAATGTCTACACAATATCATCATTCTCCCTCAGGTTCTCCAACAGTACTAACTGGGGCTACCCTTAGTCTCTCTAAATTTGGTTCTACTAGCTCGATATATGTTCCCCCAGTCAGTGGCAGATAAAGGGCAGGGTGAGCGGGGCGGCTGCCCCGGGCCCCCTGTTTCAATAGGCCCCGTGCCAGCGCTGGTGTTTTTTACAGGGGCGGACTGGCCCAGCGGGATACTGGGAATTTCCCGGTGGGCCGTCCACCAAAGGGCCGGCCAAAACGCCGGCTGACAGCTGCTGAAGGAGGAGGAGGGTGATTTGTGACGGGGCGCTGCAGCCCCACACTCTAAATTCCCTGGTGCCGGCCAGTACAGGGCACTGTAGGGCCGAGGGAGCACATGCACAGCGTGCTGAAATGTTGCGCAACAGCTGGGAGGGGAGATGCACAGGCGTGGTGTGACGTCACGGCCCGGGACTTTAAAATCGTGCAGCCCAGTATTGCACCACGCGGTCCGGCACATGGGTTCGCAAACTGGAAGGCAGAAGGTGGGCTTGGGCGGAGGGCACCAAGGGACAGCGTGGAGGAGAGACAAATGCCATGGGGACAAGTGGAGACAATGAGGAAAAGGGCAGGAGGGGAGGTGTCAGTGGGAGGGGGGACAGAATGATGCTGGGAGAGGAGAGGGGAAGGGCATTGGGGGCTGGAGGGAGAGGTACTGGGATAAGGCTTGAAAGAAGGGGTGGGCATGAGGAAGGTGGGGATGGAGCAAGTCATGTGTGAGGGCTCAGAGGGACATGAGAGGAACTGGGCAAAAGGTGGTGAGGGGTGAGCATCAGGGAAAAAGAGGGCAAAGGGGGCAGGGACAATGAGGGAAGGGGGGGTGCCGGGGGGCCCCCCCCTTGACGGGGGTTGCCACCCACCTCCGAGGCATCATCCAACCAACTGGGGCCTCGGTCCCAAAGCGTGATGCCCCCTTTTGGGGGAAATACGGCCTCCCGGCCTAGTCCACAGTTCAGTGTCTGTTACCCCGGTCCCCACTTGCCAGGGTCTCGGGTAGCAGGGGTACGGGGGCCCAGGCCCTCCCTCTCCACCAGGCCCCGACCCAGTGCCCTAATAGTGGCAGGTGGTTCCCACCACTGGCTCGGTGGGGGCTCCTCCCCGCAACGCCCCGAGCCCTCAGGGGCTTCTACAGCTCCCTGCCCTGGGTCGTTTCCTACCCCCTGCTCTCGGCCTGCCATGGTCCCACCTGTTGGCGTCGGTCGCCTGGCTGTAGTGGTACTTCCCCTGGCAGCCTCAGAGTTGGCAGAATCCGGTCTGGTGCTCGGGTCATGGGGGGGTCGGTCGGTGGCTCCGGTGTCGGGGCCGAGCCAGGCTGAGGCCCGGCAGCAGCACGCTCAGCTCTCTTGGCAACGCCCTCTCTGGCCAGTGGTTGCTAGCTCCAGCTCGGGTCGCAGTCTGCCCCTTCTGAGCAGGCCAGCAGCCTTTTGTACCTGTGCTCCCTTTGGAGCATGCCCAGTAGGGCTGTGTGAGTGGGGCCTTCTCCGCCCCCGGCCCCAGGTGGTTTCCCTGGGCTTGAGTGCGGGGCGGGGCCGCCCCGTCACAAGGAGGCACCAGGAGGGTGCAGGGGTAAGGGAAGGTGCTGCCTTAGGCCCCACAAAACTCTCATCCATCCCTGCCCCCAGTCTATTGGCTGCATCTGGAGTTCTAGGGAAGGCCATAAATGATGGTGCTTTTTCAGCAGCTATGCACAACTTGTTTTGGGGGAGATCTCATATCTTTTTTTAAAAAATCTTTTAACAGAACTATTGCACTTTAAGGGTATGTCTAGACTATAGGGTTTTGTTGACAAAAATGGACTTTTGTCGACAAAACTATACCTGTGTCTACACTGCCGCTGAGTTCTGTCAACATAACGTCGACAGAACTCAGCAGTTTTGTCGATGGCTGTAAACCTCATTCTACGAGGAATAACGCCTTTTGTCAACAGAGTTCTGTCAAAAGAAGGCGTTATTGCATCTACACTGTCATGTCGACAAAGTGGCTTGCTTTGTCGATGGAACTGGATGTAGTCTAGACGCTCTTTGTCGACAGAAGCTTGTAATCTAGACGTACCCTAACTTATTTGTTCATGGGCACAGAAGAAATAGGTGTCCATAAGGATTAGAAGTCAGAAGTTTCTAGTTCCTAGTCCTGTGCACAGACTACTACATCACAGCTGTCTTGCCATATCATCTAATGCAAGTTTCTGTGATCAAAAATTAGAATTCTGTGCTGGGATGCAGCATCTTATATTTGTGTTAATAAAAAGCATGGAATATGTTTATTCATTTGTAGAGGAGCATCAAGGAGCTTCTCTCTCGCTTACCTCAGGAACCATGTCATGGTTAATCGTAGAGGGCTGATCTTGACAACCTCCAAGTGCTGGTCAGAGAATAAGATAAGGCCTTAAGGGCACAGAAGTTCCACTGACCCAGGGAGTTAGGGGATTAAATTTAGAATCTCCATGTGGTTTGATGTCAGCAGAACCTTCCAAAAGGAAAATGGGTCTGCAATTCAGAGGTGCTTATTGTTTATTTCATAATTGCTAAATATTTAAGATCTGTTCTGCATTATGATACTACACAACTTTGGGACTACTGTATATGTTCTAATAGAATCCTTTTATTTGCTCTGTTCAGTTCCACCCTGTGCCAAAGGTCTCAGAGGCCTTGGCAATGCTATAGATATCAAATATGTGAACAGGTGAACTGCTGTTGAACACCTTCTAGTCATTAAAAAGCAGCTAAGTTCCCAAGAGAAACTTTCAGAAAGAGTGGGACTCGATTCTCCAGCACCATGCTAAGTTTCTTGGGTAAAATTCACCCCAGCAGAGAGGGCTGATGCACCACATAAGGCTTATTATTAGGAGCCAACGTGAGCATGAAGTGCCATTTCATCAAGGTCAATAACTCTCGGCAAGTGTTATTGCATAACACTCTGGGGTGCGGACGATAAGGGCTTTGAACTGGAGTGTGTTTCAGCCTTACAGATTAAAGAGTTCATTTTTTGTGTAAACAACACAAAACTAGAAAAGAAAAACATGCAAAATGCAGACTGTCAAAGCAGAATTGTTTCTGAACATTTCTCCCAAGTTTATGTGAGGCTCACAAGATATTTAAAAACAAACTGCACCCCTATTTAATGCTGATGCTTCCATATGTTCTTTTTGCACAATCTTCTTTCATATTCATAACTTTTTTAGGGTAAAATATCTCCTTGAGGATACCTTTGCCAGATAAAGACAAAGTTTGGGACCAGGGCTGATCTCAGTAACACTGATGAAAAATCTGGAGTAATCAAATTGATTTCAGTGGCAATCATTGTAATTAATAGCATCATTAGGTTTACTGTGTTTAATTTCTTTAGTTTAGTCCGGGTTCTGAAGGAATAAACCTTCAATTGTGTATGTTTTTACTGGCATCTACACATGTAGTAGTCTAGCTACCTGTTTTGTGTGTAAAAATCAGTGATTTTTACACACATGCATTACACCTGGATAGGAGAGTGGGCACTATTGGTGGCTAACCTATCTAGAAAATATATCCTTTTAGAAATTATACAAGTATAGAATAGCATGCTGGTAGCAGTTGCTTAGCAACACATTGTTTCTTGGCTTTCCTGGTGACTGCATCAGTCCTTTGAGACTGTCATCAAAGACCACATAGTCCCTGATGCTGTGAGATGAGTCCATCTTGTAAATGTCACCTTTAAAAATAATGAAAGAATTGGGAATTTTATTTTTTGCACAATATCAAATAGGCAAACCTTTTCCATGCAATTAGCTTACTGCCAGTAGGGCCAAATCTTGTCCATGCAGTCTTCCTGCGGAAGACTCCGAATCTGGTAGAATTTTCTTCTCCCTCTTCCCTTGAGCCATGCAAGTCCATAGTGTGGGAGCACAAAGAAACTCCTACCTCTGTTGCCCAGGTGCATCCAGCTCCAGCTGTGATTGGCAGATTTTCTGTCTGAATGTACTAATTCCTGCCATAGGTCCATTCAGAAAGAAATAGTGCACCTCTGGCTTATCTGCTGATAGTGTAAATTTCAGAGGCCCCATTGACAGAGATTATGTGGGGTCTACCAGAATAACATTAGTACGACAATGTTTGGTCAAGTTACTGTCTCAGCTTGTCCATGAATGTAGAGCCCTTATTGGTGAAAAACCCTGGCATCGTGAATTTTCCCAGTGGAGCCCACAATGACACTCATAAATCAGCCTCTGTGGTCCATGAAGGCCTGGATAAATATGGAGTAATAACCACTGTAGTTTATGTACTTTTTTGATTTTGGAGGAGGGAAAACTATGGACACGAGTCCTATCAATGGCCTTTGCACACCTGGAAACCCCATCTCTCAAAGTCAGCAATCACCTAAGGAATATCTTTTATGTCTGCCACCTGGGGTAAATCACACACCTACTTGCCTCAGAGACATCCACCACCACTTTACATTGAAGTGTCTTTACATTGAAGAGTTGGGAACAAGC